AATTATTTTGATTTTTTTTTAAAAGTGGGTTCAAATTATAAAGATACTAATTTTGAAACTATTTCCCATCAATGAAAAGTTCATCTCAAAAATTTCAATTCTTTCATATAATTCTGTCATTGTGTTCTCATTTATTTTTTATCATAAACAAAACGAGTGAAAAGTTTTTAAAGTCATCCACTATTTCTCGTTTTGGCCCAAAACAATTTTTGACAACTAGACAGTGAGTTATTTTTCGTAAAGTTTTTTTTTGAGTTACTATTTTCTATCAGATTAATCATCTAACATATATTTATCAGAGTGCGCAGCGGATAGCTTATGCATATGACAAATTTCGAGGACGAAATTTTAAAAGGAGGGAAGATTGTAACAACCCAAATTTTTAATTATTCTGTAAAATTTATACTAATATTATTTAATTACAGTTGGAGAAAATATATAATTTATTATATATTATTATGCATAATTTTGTAAAATAATATAATTATTAAAAATTTATGGGTTAAAATAATAATAATAATGGGTGTGGTAATAAAATAAATAAATAATTTTATGTTAGTATACGATAGAGTGTAATTTAATTAAGAATTAATTAATTTATATAATTATATTAAAATATTAAGTCAAAAAATAATTATTTTAAATTTCTATTAAGAATAAGAATGAATTTATATAATTAGAAATTAAAAGTGATACCTAGCCACGTGTGGGCCACGGACGGGACTCCCCTCCCTATAAATAGGGAGGCTTTCACCTGGGTGAAGAAAAGAAAGAAAAAGAAAGAAAGGAAAGTAAGAAAAGAGAGGAAGAAGGAAAAAATAGTGGAAATTATAAGGGTTTTTGTTAGTGAAAAGAAAGAGTAAAATATTAGGGTTAAGGTGAGTTATATTATATCTTGAGTTACCATAATATATTTTATATTTATTTTGATTTATTAAAATCTATTTTATACAAGTTATGTTTTATTAGTATATTAATAAAAGTTATGTTTTATAAAGGTTTCAGTTACGTGGATTATTTTTTGAACCCTATTTGCTTAAAATGAAACTCATGAATATGTTTGTTTATATTTTAAAGAATATTTGACTATAACCTTATAAACAATTATGTTTTATGTTTTGTAAGTATCACCACAGGAGTTCCACGTCTTGGGAGATTTAAATAACCATTGACCTCTGTTTGGTCACTTTGTGGCCCTCTGATCTATTGACCTCTGTTCTGTGTGGAGCTAAGTGCTACACTATTATGGGAGCTACTTCTATAATCCGTACGAGCCACCTCTTGAATCCGTACCTCTGTTCTGACTGTCACTCATGTGACCTCTGTTCTGTTCTGTTCTGTACCGTAGTTATGGTTATTTATTTCTGTATTTCAGTTTCTGCCACTTAAACGATTTGTTTACCAATATTTTATTTACTAAACTGAGTTATGTAAATATTTTGGTCTAACTAACTATTCATGGTTATTTCGTGTTTCTTATACTCTTTGTATAATATTCCACACTTTGCCATGTGCTTATAGTTTTTACCAATTTTCAGGAAACATGCAATTTAGAAATAGCTTTTGAAAAGTCATAGACGCGGGGCTGCAGAATAGACACACAACACTTTTATTGATATTTTTATATGTAAATATCGATCTTTTGGTCAAATACATTTCATAATAAAAATAGAAACTGCAATGATTATTTTGGTACCCTTATTTAAATATTACTTCCGCTCGCGTTTATTGATTTGTTTATGAATTAGCCGGAGGCAACTTCAGTTACTGGCCATCACGATACTTAACCCTTGAGTATGGAGAGCGGGTCGTGATAGTCTTCCACATGAATTTATAAGATTTTGAAAAGTTCTAGAGAAATCTAGAAGATTTTGAAACATTTTAGAAAAATCCAGAACATTACAGAATTTTGGAGAAATTTTGGGATTTCAAAAAGTTCTAGAGTATTTTAGAAAAATATAGAAAACTTCACTATATATATACTAAAATAGTTTAAAGAATCCTCGAATATAATGGAAAAGCAAAAGGATTCTAAAATATTTTAGAAGATTAATGATGGCTATCGGATCAAGTTGAATCTAGCCATCAATTAAGGAAGTGAAAGATTATATAAAGAAAAGATTCCTCATTATGGATTCATAGAAATGAGATAAGAGTTTTGGTGTAGAGAGTAGGTGGTGTGGTGAGAAACCTACTGACCCATAGTAGTTGTAATTATGTGATTAAGCATTGTTTATAACATGAATTGAATAAGTTTATAATTTTCAGAGATGTCTAAACTGCTCAAGCCCCACAAAATCATCATGTATAGTCATATTATTAAATAAATCCAAGCAAAATTCATTCCTCTCATGAAAATGTTTCAAATATACTATTCACATATTAAACAGTTTGATTATGGCTTTGCCCATTCCGATCACAATGCCCTCGTATACTTCCCGCATATCACCAAAACTTCTAGTCAAATTGTACCAAATTGTAAATAGAGGACTTAATGGTAGATATGGTTAAACCGCATATCACCAAAACTTCTAGTCAAATTGTACCAAATTGTAAATAGAGGACTTAATGGTAGACATGGTTAAAATAGAGGAGGTCAACTACTCTGATTGTTTCTTTATTTTAGTTTAATTAAAAAAATATATTGCTAAAACTTTGTTATGGAAAAAAAATTTAAACAAATAAATAGAGTTTTTGCCTTTGCCTTTTACTTATTTTAGCCTATTCAAAACAAGTCTTGCTAAAAAATCCAATTCTAGAACTATTATGATCCATTTGTTTTACATTGTCATGTAACAACTCCATTCTCTCTGAATTTTGATTCATTAATTTAATTTTTGTTTTCTTTATATGAAAAAGTTTGAGAAAATATATACAAAGAATTTTGGGATCACATCGAATTGCTAAATTTCTATTGTGGAACAGAAAATGTATCATGTTTTTGAAAACATGTATTCTCAAAGGTAAACAGTTAGGATATTAGTATTTTCGAGTAACACTGAATTAGACCAAAACAAATGCTTACATGTTGCACAATAATGAAAGTTTTCTATCATTAATAGGATTGAGATTGTTTATCTATGGTGGTCAAATTTAATTATTCAGATTAGGTCTCAATGGCTACTTTATTTAACAAAATTGAAGGATTTCTTAATTCCACAATTAAAAATGAAAAACAAACGTATAGCTAGGATTATATATTTTTGTATTTACTACAAAGCAAACGTAGACAAAAGAATTTATGTATTTTATTAATTCAATTGAATAATTAATTTTACACTAATTTCATAAATTTTAATTCTATAAATCAAACATATCTTTAGTGTTTGTTTAATTATTAACAATAGCTGAAAAGGTCTTCGAATCATTTCTTTTACTTATCTTAGTGATACAAAGTCAGAGCTTGATAATCCATACAAAATAAATTCTGAAAAAATATATGTATATATATATTTATAGTAATATTTATACAATTAATTATTACTTTTGCATAACGTATGAGAGAAAGGGAAATAGATAGAAGAAGAAAAAAAGAAAAAGAAAAAGTCAGCCACCACATCATTATCACCACTATCGTTTCACCATCACCATTAGAATTGTAATCACGTCAAGTGGAGTTTTGGCATTTGAACTCGATTTGATGGAAATTTGTTGAGCTTGACCTTGGAATCAAACCTAAACTAAGGTTTCGTTTAAAGAGAAGAGTTGAATTGAGTTTGGGATTGTTTTAGTAATGAAAAGATAAAATATGTTTTTTAATTTAATAAGATAAAATATCATATTTAATTCATAATTATTACACAAAAAGTTAAAAAAGTCAAAAAGTCTTTCCCAAACGAAATCTTTTAACTCCGGGCTAAAATAGTTAAAAAGCTGAAAATTTAAAAAGTCAACTTATTTCTCAAATGAACCCTAAGATACCTATTTAAAAATATATATATATATATATACAAAATATAAAAGAGTACTTATATTAATAATAAATTTTGTCAATTACATATGTAAATTTATGTAAATACCAAACATTGACAGAAAATAAAAAGAACTAATGAAAATATATTGATAAATTATTATAAAGAAATATTAGTTTACATTCTTTATGTTTATGAGTTTTGTCTAATCGAGTTTGGTTTTATTCAAACTCAACTCAATTACTAAATGTGTCTAAAATTTGGACTTGAGCTCATTAATTTATTAAATAGGTTGATCAATTAAGTTTTAAATAAGTCAAATTCGAACGATTTATACTCATTTATAATTTAATCAACACCACTCCCTCCACCTTCATCACTACTGTCACTTCCATTACCATGTCACGCCAGCATTGTTATCACTACCATCATGTTGCCACTACTATGACCACAACCACAACCATTACTTCAACATTACTACATTCATTGACTATACACAACTGTCATGCCACCACTACTTTTTTACTACTATATAAGTATCGTCGTTGCCATCACTACTCACACTCCATTGTGTAACCACCATCATTTGGCTACCAAACCACCCCCACAAATATAAAGAATTTAATGTTAGTGAAAATTTAATTAATTTTTTTAACATATCAAATAGTTTGATTTTATTCAACCCCTAAATTCCAAGGACTATCAAAAACAACTTATCAGATTAAAAACTTCAAACATTCAATTTTCAAATTACAATTTTATCAAACATCAAATTTTGTAACCTTGAGTTGATAATCAAAACAAAAATAATTGGTCATCCAAAAGCATGAAATAATTATTACCCAAAACATAGGCAAAAATACATCATAATGGATCCACCAAACATAAAAATCAAAACAAAAGGTCATCACATCAACCAACCAGATGAGTGATGGTTCACCAACATGAATAGGTTGAAGATAAGCTAAATGGGCCCACCCAACCATATATTTTTTTACCTAAATAATGCACCCTGACAAGGTGCTACCTCTTATACCAATGCATTACATATCTACAAACACTCACTCCTCAACAAAAAAAAAAAAATAAAGGACAAAAACTTATGTATATTATAACCAAAAATCACTATTGTTTATTCCCAATCTTTAAACAAAAACCCATCTTGTTCTTGCTTGGTTCTTTCCAACACTCCATCAATGGAAGTACTAAGATGCTCTTCTTCTTCTTCACCTCCTCTCATGATCAAAAAAACTGTGCCAATCAAAAGGTCTGTTAACAAGGTTTTGATGGTTAAACACAGTCAAAGTTCAGTGAAGAAGACACATCCTTCACTTCTTCAGATCAGATCTTCATCCAAGAAGAAGGTTCGTTCTTGTAAAACAATTTTCTTTTCTTTTCTTTTCTTTCTATTATTCAAACAACCATTGGAGTCCTATCTTTCTGTTGTGTGTCTTTTTTCTTAAGATTTTGGATCATAAACATAATGGTGAATTTCATTTTACCTCCCTTAATTATGATTCATTATCACTTTACTCCCTCAACTAAAAATTATTACACTTTGACCCTAATTTTCTGATTTGTTTTAATCTGAATCTCATGTTAACGTTTTATTACAGAATAGTGGCATGTAAGTTGTATATGTCAATTTTATGACCAAAATGCTCATTCAAAAACTGATTCATTTACATATATGTTAGAGATATGTATATATATCTTCTTCATTTCTACAATCAGAGAGAAAAATATATGCATATCTATCACATATATGTGTACAAAACAGCTTTTGAATTAGTATTTTGATCATAAAATTGGCACATGCCACTTTTCCAATAGAAGGTTGAGATTGGAACAAATGAAAGAATTCAAGAGGGGAAATTTAACAATTTTTAGTCAAAAGAGGTAAAGTGATAACATTCTATAATTGAGAGAGGGTAAAGTGTAACTTGCTCTAATCATAACATAGTTGTACAAACTTTCTAAACTTAAAATCATGTAAATGTAAATAAATGTATGTAAAATGTAAAATACTTGTGGGTTTTTGATAGTGTAGTTGGTTGGTTTAATTGTAATAGATTTTCGAGGATCAGTCCAAAGGTATTGTTTGTTACAGAGATGGGAGTGGAGAGATTACATGTGAAGGGTATGATGAAGGCCCTCGTCTTCAACAACAACTTTCTGCCATTACTTATCATCCAAGGTACAATATATATATATATATATATATATTTAGGAAATCAAAATTAAAATAAAAAAATCTCGAAAGTTGCATAAGGGTAATTTAGGTATGAGAAAATACGTGGTGTAGTTTCAAAACATATTTTGATTTTTGTGCTTTATATAATAGATAGATATTAGAAGTAGTGGCAGATACCGTGCATAATATAATTACAACAATTACATGAATTGATATTTTGAATGTTGTTTTTATAATTTTATCGTTATCATTACAGTTAAAAACAAATAAACGGTTTTTTGAACAGTTTAAAGTAAATTTTGTTGGATAATTTTGATTGGTAACATTTATAAATTTACTACTATAGTTAAGACGAACAGCAGTTTTTCAAATAATCGAAAACTGATTATTCTTAAATAAATTTAAAATTGAAAAAAACAAATATTGACTCGCTTGATCACTTTATTTTACTGGATATGATTGTTTTCCTAGCAACAGGTACACATTCTATGCGAGTTAATGAGAAATATGAATTAGTTTTAAAAACTGTCTAATAATATCGATTAGTTTTGAAAATTGATTAGCACTTCTCATTCAATTAGCAATTCTATGGAAATTTTTATATATTGAAATTGTGTCACAAAGCTTCGAGACCAAGATGAATTGTATGCCTTATATAGAGCACTAGTTGTGGTGGGTTATATTCAATTCAAGTTTTTGAATAATTTGAAATGAAAAAGATGAGTTAAATTTGAACGCGTACGGCTTAGCATTACAAAGTTGCAAAATATGTCATGCGTTTATGTATTCATATAGATGATATGATAAATGTATAGTATAGATGTCTAACTAGTTGCAAAAAATTTTGTATGGAGGACAGAGATGCAGAGATCATTGATCTTCTCCAGAAAAAATGGCTTCAAATAATCGAAGGAGGTGACCACCACCATAACTATGCAGACAAAGGTGGTGATGATGTGCAAAAAGGCTTCAACTGGAATGGGTTCAACTCATTACTCTGATGATGATATCTCCGTCTTCAAACTCCACTATATCATACTTCATCCATTTTGAATTGTTTGTCCAGCACGAAAAAACAATTTAAAAATAATATATTAAATTTATTATTTTTAAATTTTTTTTGGGTTAGATAAACAATTTTAGAAGGAAGTAGTATCATAAGCCTATGTGTAATATAGTTATAGTAAGCAAAAGCAAGGCATTTTCTTTAATGGTTGCCCTGTACATCAAAAAATGCACACAGAGCATTTCATTTGTCTTGTTATAAAGAACCTCTCCTTTTCTTTTTTACTTTCTTCTTTTTCTCTTCTTTTTTCCCCCTTTTTTTTTTTTATAATTTTTTTGGGTCTTTTTCAGGTTGTTAATAGCTCAATTCTGTTGAGCAGTACTCCTATGTACTACGACTAAAAATCTTCTACTCACGCTGGTTCCCCATGTTTGTCTGAGAGGAAAATGATGGAAACTCCATGGCATAACTTCAATAAACCGAAAAAAAAATAATAATTATTTAAAAGCTGGATGAGAGAAACTTTTAACTTTTCCTTTTGGATTATCGACTTATTTAAATTATTTTTACGAAATAAGCTGAAACTATTTGGTACAAAATTTCAAAATAAAAGGTCATAAACAACCCATTTAAACTATATGGTACAATTTGTTAATATAAACATCAAGATTAGGAAAAATATACAGGAACTCAGATAAAAAAATGCCACTAAGCAATATTCAAATATAATACACCCCCTTAAAATTTTAAAGAAAAATGCACTTGCGTTGTAATTCATATACAAGAAAGATATAATGTACAAAAAAAAACTTCTTGGGGAGATCATCTAATAGTATACCCCAGAGAAATTCTAATGGCTTCAATAGCCTTTTTCTGCATCTTCTGAACAATTTAATCATGAGTTCTCATTTTAACAAGAAAAATTACAAAATGGAACTGCTATCCAAAAGAATTTCAATAAATAAAAAAAAAAAAGAAGAAAAAAAAAAACATAAATGAATGAGGGAAAACTGATGAGGGAGGAATAATCCCCAAGACTTACATTTTGCAAATATACACGCACGCTGATTTACAGTATATCATTCAAATGATGTCCCACCTTGATTGTTCTCTTCACAGAGATCGGTTTGGGACTTACTTGGAATGATTGTCGGAGGAGACCACTGATCCGGGACCATCAGAAAATAAGTTGTCATGGCTTTTCTGAACCTTTTCTTGTATTGCTTGGGGGAAATTACTGTAGGAGCTTCATTTTTCAGCCCACCAAGGATGCCTGAAGCCTTTACCCAAGTTTCGAGGTGCTTGTCCCAAGTATACTGTCTCATAAAATCAATAATCCCGATTACTAGCTCCTGCTTCCCTTCGTCTATGCCAAGTAGTAATGAATAATCCATTACATCGATTGACTGCATCAATGTGAAGATTCATGTATTAAAATAAGTAACAAGTACATAATCTTTTTGAATTTTGGAACAGCCTACAGGTTGACAACTGGATACTGGGGAATGTAGGGATGTTCTCATTTCAGGCCAGAGAGAGAAACAAACTGACAGATTAAGCATAATGGAAAGCCCTTGCTAAATTGATCTTATTGGGTGTAATGCCGTTTTTTTTTTTTTTTCCTTCTTTTGTCACACCCTAGCACACATTTTGTCCACGAAAATTGCCTACATACTAAATCACTATAACAGTTTTGATAATTGACTATGATGCATATCATGTATAAATCTATATGAATCCATTCAGGATTAGAAACCATCACCCAACCAAGGATAGTTTATTCAAACCTCTCTAGTAGGTGCCTCTGTTTACCAAAAGCCTACTACTAAGGGTCTGCGCACAAACCTGCTACAGCAATCACTTCCATGATCCAGCCCCAAAACAATTAAAAAGATCGCATGCAGTAACTAAATTCATGAAAATATCAGAGAAAATTTGAAAACTTACTGCAAGAAAAGCAGTATCGTTCCAAACAGCTCTTTCCAACAACCGCTTCGCCTTGTTTCCGACAAATATTGGAGACGTTGGCATTGCTTCAATCAAATTCTGATCCAGTAGAACTTTATTGCTTCCACTGGAATCTGGGTTATATCGTGATCGGGAAGATCCTTTGAGATCATAAAGTCTTGTCAAATTTCTCCCAAACAGAAGATTCTCCATAACCAGAACATCCATTTTAGATTCTTTTCCTCCTTTCAGATGCTTTGATGTAACCTTAATGCCAACAAAATGTTGAAGTTTCAGAAGGTAGTAAGCTAGATGGCAACATACTTTGACAAGTGAAAGGAATAAAAAGTCCACAATAAGTTTTATCTCATTATCAAGCTGCTAGCATACTTGAAGAGGGTGCTTATAAGTTTTGGTCTATAAATAGCTATAGGTTGCTTTATGATATTAGATTTCGTCAAGATATCGCAAAATATTGGTGACAGTGTCAATAAACAAAAATGTTATGTCGAAATATCACCTGAAATAGACCAAATTTGGGTACCAAATTTTGGATACCATCTGATACGTCACCAATGCATTGGTTAATTTGGTACCCAAATTTGGTAACCATAGCATTATTGCACCTGAAATATACTGAACACAAATGATTAAAATATTGGACGCATTGTCCAATATATATCATCATTACATGAGAAAAAAAAAATTCAAGCGACTGTCTGTGTACCTTACATACCTTATGGCATGAACTAAATATGTATGTGTCTGTGTAGATGTCCCCATTCTTATGTAATAAATTCCCCGATCATAGTGGCAAATAAGTAACTTTAAATTAATGATCATATCCATATGTTACTATGACAGTCTTACCAATTGGAACACATCTTGCTTCTCTGTCTAATCAGCCCATCTCTCTGTCACTCTCCACACACATAAACCTCTTGGCAACCTCAATTCATATCCACTCTCTTTCCCCACCTGTCTAATTCTCTTCCGTATGTCAACTAAAAATCCAAATCCCATGTTTACAACAACCGAAGACAGTACATATTACAAAGAATCAATAATTACTATCATTATTGTAATGATAAAAATAACACAACAAAACAAAGAATAATCACTAGCTTTCTTCACAATCATATCATATCAACAAGCAACAAGGTTTTTCAACTTACTGTCTATTTAGTAATTTTTACCCACATTTAGTCATGTTATGCTCAATACTAATTTCTACTAAAGTAATATTGTTTTATCTTCCATGAACACTGTTTACTGTTACAATGATATTTTCTTTATGATTAGCTTAATCATCATTTGACATACATCTAGTAGTATGTGAACTCATGCTATCCATCTAGAGTAGTATGAGAGGCACGGATATACAGAAGTTCTCTTACAATGCATTTTTAGCCCTTAGAAACTTGGAATACATGCTGTACTGCAAATGTAACTCCACACCAACTTAAAAGATATTTACAGTAAAGTACATCAGATTTTCAACTTGGATAATGAACACATAACATAGTGTAATCAGCAGTTCAGGCACTCAGAAAATACCTGATAAATCCCAAGAATCTTTGCAAGACATGTTGGGCTCCCTGTGCCAATCGATTCAGACAGATACTTGAAATATCCTGGAGCAAACTTTATGAACGATTCCAGCTCTGTCTTTGTAACCTGTTTGATAATAAAACGATCATCCAAGGTTTTTGCAAAGAAGACATTGCTCTTGCCACCTTGAGCACCCCACTTCTTGCAACGACTGAGAGACCTTATGAAATCCATCTCAGATGGACAACATATCCTTCTCAAGGCTTCAAACCTCTTTGCATAGTAACAAGTCACAGTATATTTCACCTTACCAAGAGGCCCATCATCAGTAAAAGAAACTCTTGCATGCAAAGCCTTCGTGTATGAGACAGGATCCAAAGTCAAGGAGCTACGAGACCCAGACATGGATAAGATGTTGTCGTCTGTAGACCCAAGACTTCTAGAAGTTTCCAAGGACATTTCATCAAAAGAATGAAGTGACTGAAAATTTGCTGAATCAATAAACTGCAATGGAACTGTAGATTCCCCACTATCTTTGGCCTTTTCACCGTCATCCGACAGTGTGACAAGATAATCAGGTGATGCCAGCGCATAAGATATAATGCTTGTTGGCTCATCATCATAAACTGAAACAACAATGTCATTTTCACCCACGGGCAAAAGCAACCTAGCCCCTCCTTGAAGTTCCAACTCCCGAAATGATGAAACGTAAACGGGATTATACTCACCAAGTGTATCAAGCTTTTGAGCAGTCCCTAAAAAGTTCTTGTTCAATGACCGATAGAAATTTATAAAGGGCATTCCCAACCAGCTTACAGAATCTTCCATGTTCTCAGAGCCTTTGGTGGACAACACAGAAGGTGAATTGGATACCTTGGACCCACTCTGGTTATCTCCATGGTCTTCCAATTCAAACTTTTCAGCCACGGCTACTTTGAAAGAATCTGCAACAGCTGATTCAGAAAGGGCACAAGAATCAGCCTTTGCTACTCCAATTCCTGGATGATTTTCACCAGTCCATGCTGCATCAAGAGTGTCTGACAGACTTGCTATAACAGGGAATTGCCCAGCAGATTGGGTCCTACGAACAACTACGTTGGATTCTGAAAGGTCAGGTTCAACATAGACACTCATACCAGCAGAAAGATTAGCTTGGTTTTCTTGTCCATGTTTTGAATCTATTTGCATATCATTTCCTCCATGAATATCAACATGGCTACCAATTACTCCTCCCTGATCATGACTTTCATTAAGCTTTACATCCACCGGTAACGAGTCAGAACTTTTTAAGCCTTCGACTGGTTTAACAGGCATATTCGTGTCAATGAGGTTGCCACAAGCAGAAAGGGGTTTCTCCACATTTGCTGGATTGGAGCTACCTAGATTATTCTTATGGCTGCTGCTTTCTAAACTGGCAGCATAGATCAGACGGTGGTCCCACATATACGATTGGAAGAGTAACTGTCTTCGTAATCGATTAATCTCAAGAATATCAATGACAGGCTGACCCTTTCTCACTTCCCTGTTCAAAATTTTCTGGACCAACTCCTGGAACAAGGTCAAGAAATCCATCAGAACCCATATAATGAAAGCAACAAAGAATTAAGTTTCAAAGGAATTATAATACTTAGTTTCGCTTTTCTTGGAAAAATTGGATTCTAACATAAAAATCTCAAGGGAATTCATAAAATGTCTACAATTTTGACCAGGATTATATTGACATAATAATCAAGATGGCATTTTCCAACAAACAATAGATATTTTTGAAATAGATAATTTTGACAACTTCTTGTAATAGAAGACACTTGTGGGTCAATCCGGTGCCGGTGAACCAAATACATGATAGTCAGAAAGCACATTGTTTATCCAATCAAACAATAACAGAGACCAGCTTAACAAATTTGATTTATTTATCCTTTTTCCAGGAATAAATTACCAACTCTCGTCTGCATACAAGTTCAGTGAAGTATAAGATCTACATACTACATCACACAACAGGACTTACAAATATAGCTTCCAGGACACATCATTTGAGTAACTCACACAGAAAAGAAAATCTCAAAATATGCCAAAGAAGGCATCACCTCAAATTCTTCCTTCTCCTTTTGTAGCATGGTTTCCAGTTCTGATATTTGGTGTCTTGATTCTGATGATTTCGTGCCATTGTTATGTGGTCCTGGGCCCGATTGTTTCTCTGCCATCTGACTGAGAGCATTGAGTATTTCAGCAAATAACAGCTCTGCTCGGTCAACAACCTGTTTAATTTAGATTATTAGATTACAGATATGCAGAGTGATTTGAAGTGACATGCTTAGGAAATGAAATCCTGATCGTCACACCTCATTCATTTCCTTTCGTATCCAATCCTGATTCTCATAATTGAAATCAAGTTTGGAGGGTGGAAGGTAGACTGAGTGAACATCAATTGATGCATAACGGAAGCAAGCAACCATTTCCCCAAATCTGCACATGTAGCGGAAGTGAAAGTTACAACATAATATAAGCAACGAGAACAAAAATCTACCCCATTGGCTATAATTCAACCAAAAATATCTCCTACATGGGCATTAAACCATTGATCAAGCCCGTGCATCATTGCCGATTTTTGCTGAACAACTGTTCATAATGCAAGACTAAACATTTACAGCATACAAGAAATTGAACAAGCGAAAATACCCATAGAACCGAAGACAATCTCTGTGCAGTGAATGGCCACAGCTTGCCACTCTGCTAGCCGCTGCATGATTTGAAAAACTGAGCTCCAAAAACTTCCCAAAGGACAAGCCCCAAGCAGCATCAGACATCACAATTCTTCGGGTTGCTGGTGGGAAACCATTAATCCTTGGACACCTCAGGCACCTGTGCCACATCCAGATCTTTCCTTCCCTTTCACCTGGTAAGAGAAATTCTGGCAACTTCTTCACAGAAATTGTAAGGGTACCTTGTCGATGAGTATAACAATGAACGTGAGCTTCTGAAGGCATATCACATGATCGGCATTGGTAACTCTGACAAAAAAGTTAAGACCTTGTTATGTTAAAATGCATTTCTGCATTTTCTACTAAATGAAATAGGTGAATGGACCTGAATGAGTGTGCGCACGCATGTGGTGTGTGTGAGAGAGAGAGAGAGAGAAAGAGAGAGAGAGAGAGTTACTTGATCAAACAGATGGTCTCGTAAGAAGCGCCCCAAAGGTTTATCAAAGTTGCCATAGTATTTGATTCGAAAGAGATGTGATCTTTCACATACGGTCCCCTTCCACACACACCGGGAAGATAAGGAAACCAAAATGCTTTGATGGTCAGAAGGTGATGGAGGAAACTCTTCTTTAGAAGAACCCGGTTCCTCTTGAACATTTACATCTTGTTGCACGGATGACATCTCTGAACAACCCAGGTGATTTACAATCATGCACCGGAGTCATTTTGAGCATTGTCAGCAGGAACACCTTGTCCCACTGCCTCAGGGGATTGGCAACGAGTTGATCACCAAAGGCATATCGGCCACTGTTGGCTGAAGAAGTCTTTGCTTCTAAACACTCTCTGGAAACCATTGAACTTTTCTCCCGAAATGCATGATAAGGAGAGGGCTCACTTCGGCAAGAATCTGCAACACCTTGCTCTGAAGAAGCAACAAAAGAGAAGGAACCAGTGGTGTTGACAAAGCTTGAAGTGGGTTTTGTGTTTTGAGAGCTTGGAGCCTTCAGTATATTAGGCAACAGTTTTGTATCAACCTTGCAACTTGAAGCACTGGGGAAAAAGGAGACCAGATCCGCAGTGGGGACAGTGTTGGACCGTTGTGACTCTGCACAAGGTTGAGGTCCTTGAGTTTTTTCATTGGCAGGGGCAGTGAAACCAGGTATTGTTGAAATAGACCTGTCAATACTTGATGCTTTATCTGGAAGTGTCACAGTTAGCGGAGAGTTCAATGGTAGTTCTGGCAGGGAAGCTCCTTCATCAGCAAGAAAAGATGTTTCCAGAGCCAAGTGATAAGCGGCAAAAACTCCATACTGAACCACATGCTTCACTTTCTTCAACTCATCCCCATTGGCACCTCTGAGTAAAATCTGAACAAACAGAAAAGAAAATATCCAAACGAGTTTCTTTGTCATGGGTCTACTTGATCAACCCTACACAGTGCTGAACAAGTTCAATGGGACGGTCTACCAAATACCAACAGCATAATAGACACTTCCCACTAACAGAAAGATGCTTCTGCTATTTCATGGATCCCATTCCCACTAAGATAATCTTTAAACTCCAAAATCACACAAAAAAGCATTTGGAAAAACTATTTTGGTAGCAAGGAGTCAAAGCAACTACTGATCCATCCAGGTGATTTTGCATAACACGTGTGCTGGCTCATAAAACCTATTAAATTAAGGATTTTGTTAACGTGTGCCCTTAGGGCACAGGTTAAGAAGCTTAAGAGGATTGCACATTTTGCATGAAAGTGAGTGCAACAAAAAAAATATATGATTTTTTTAAGCCTACTTAATATGTGCCCTAAGGAAACACATTAACAAGACCCTTGAACATTGAATTTATCAAATTCAATATGAAACTCCTTGTTCCTCTTATCGGTTTTCTAATACTTACAGTACATCCCAGTGGCTTAGGACACCCTTCAAAATACATCAATGTCTTTGCCAATTTTTTTCCGCCCTGCCCAGCAGTGCCATGCTCTTCTACAACTCTCTCAACGTGGAACATGTCACAGTGTCCCAACTTCTGTGATGAGAGATGATCAATTGAAGGGACAATCTGACTGCCTATGCAGCGGGCTATGCGCTCCAAGAGAGGTCTCTTGATATTGAGAACAAGTGATATGTCTTTTGCAAGAAGGTATTCCTGAGCAAATCGAGAAACTGATTTCTCCACCAAAAGGAGATCAGGTTGGTACGCATCTATCTTTGCAACAGCCATCTTTAGATGATCCATTTCCTAGATGAAGACGTAAAATCTATAAGAACAAAAAACTGAAGAAACTAAACATAGCTTCCTACAAGCTAGCAACTAGTATGTAACAATGCAGAGTGGTGCATGTCAAATCCCATAATAAGTCCAACGTAAATGGAACAAGATAGAATATAAGAAAACATAAATGACCACAACCTGCTGCAATAGAGTATCAAAACTTGATAAGTGGTTAGACACTCGCTGGTACTCAAGAGCCCCTCCAAGGATCAACATGCGAGGTTTCTCTATTCTTGATGTCATCCGCCGGTGGGCAACATTTTTCTTGCAAACAACTCCTTTGACCACCATACTAGGAAACGAGGAACGGGAAAAAACAATTCATAAACCATAAGAAACTTAACAAAGTAAAGCAATAACAAGAGGCAAATTTCTAGTTCAGAAGTACAGTCAACAAAGAATATCAACAAAAAACCACCAAAGAATATAAGCTGGTATGAGGGCATGATATCATTGGAACTTATGAAAATACAATTAATAGTCAAATATTAGTTATAGTCTTCATTGCAGTCATATGGGGCCATTGTTTAATACAATGGTGAACTGTTTGGGGGGCCAAGAGTGAAAATACAGGATTGATTTTGAGAGCAGCCATTGTGCACATTATGCCAAAGGACAGGGGTCTATATCCAGTACACCCAGAACTCTTGATTATCAGGGACCAGCGTAGGGAAATAAATAACCTTCAATCTTCATCACAGTCATATAAAATTAGCTCATTAAGGGTTGTTGGCAATTTTTTTTCAGTAAGAGCTATTGGTCAATATCTTAAGAGAAACGAGACAACTTGCAAGCCTTTTCTAAGGAAAAACCATAGCTTTTGATGTTTGATAAGAACTACTCAGTATGTTTAGTTTCAGTTTTCTAAATTTAGTTTTTTGAAAACTAGTTTTTTTGTTTTTCGTGTTTTTTTAATTTTAGTAAATATTTTTAAAATTTTAAGTAATTTTTTTACTTTTTTAGATGCACATTACTTAGATGTATCTAAATAATAAAATATTTGTGAAAAAATATTTTTAAAAATTAATAAATACACAAAAATATGAAAAATGTACTGAATTTTCATTTTTTTTATATTTATATTTGTTAGTATTTAGTGTATTTTTTAAAGAATTTTTCCACAAATATTATACTTTTTAAGTGTATTTATGTTAAGTGTGTCTAAAATAAATAAATAAATAATTACTTAAAATATTAAAAAAAATTCATTGAAAACATTAAAATACAGAAAATAAAAATGTAGAATTTTCTGAAAACTAGAACCAAACAAGCTTGTTTTTATTTCCCTCTTTTGCTCTAATTTCCACATAATTTCTCAAACAGGGAAAAACACATTGAATTGAAACAAAACTTTTATAACTCCTTTTTGTCCTCAACCAATATTCATCACCAGCTGTTCTTCTCCAATAACTCCTTCTCTACAAGCCATACTAGAATACATGAACACATTATGTTAAAACCTATCACCTACTTCACCCACTAAACCTAACCCACTACATCACTACCACCTCACCTACTCCACTAAACCTAACCCACTACACCACTACCACCTCCACTTTACCTACTCCATCTACCACCTACTCTTCTATATATAGGAATAATTGTAACATTCTATATATCAATCAATAATACAATCAATATCTATACAATTCTCTATTTCTCTTTATACATTAAATTTTCTACATGGTATCAGAGCAGGTTTAGAACCTAATATTTTCGCTTCCCCGGCGGGTGGCAACCTCACTTTAGCCGCCCGCCGGACCTCAACCTATTCCGCTGTCATCTCTATCAATACATATAGCTTCCAGTTCGCCGCCACCAGAGGCGACTTCTCTACATACAAATATAAAGTAAAGAAGGTGAGGAACAACATGATAAGGGTGTATTTTAAAATGATAAATATATATATATCTCTTTTTATTATATTCTATTACTCAAACTCTCCTCCATTTGATTTTAAAATCACTTATTTTTTATTTATTTTTTCCAAATCACTTTTCCTCCTTTTTACATACCCCCACTTTATTTTTGAAACAATCACCCTATCCCCCTTGAGTTTGCGGGGGGCTGTTAAAACCTATCACCTACTTCACCCACTAAACCTAACCCACTACACCACTACCACCTCACCTACTCCACTAAACCTAACCCACTACACCACCACCACCTCCACTATACCTACTCCATCTACCACCTACTACCACCTACTCTTCTATACATAGGAATAATTGTAACATTCTATATATCAATCAATAATACAATCAATATCTATACAATTCTCTATTTCTCTTTATACATTAAATTTTCTACACATTATCATCAGAAACACACTCGTTATGGCAAAAGTTTTTCCATGAATAAGGGATGTTTCTCCATTTGCCTAAAGTAGGTGAACTTCACAAATTGCAAGTATTTTGATTGAGTGATAATTTTCTGAATTGTTTCTCCATCAAACACGGTGAAACTTTGCCAAATCTGTAGGTTGTTTCATTCTCTCTCACACCTAATGAAATCATTTTTTTTTATAAGCACACCCAATGAAATCTTTTACCAGTCTATAATTTGGTAATATGGAACAACAACGTGACTCAGAACCTAAATGGCCATTGAATTAGTTATAGAAGTTCATAACTGGTTTTACAACACCACAATCTACAAATTAAACAATTATAAGTAAACCTGTGAAGTCACTCAGAATTTGAAAAGCTCAACTTAATGGAGACAGAGAGGATATGTGGTATGTTGCAAACCCCAGAACATGGTAGAACGGTTTATTAATTATTTAAGCGGGTATTTTGAAGTGTTATGGCCATTGCACCTTTTTCCTTAAAATTTATATGCTATTCAGTTTTGATTCATAATTTTCTTATCCTGATTCATTATTTTTTTCTATACTCCCCTCGGGTTATAAAAAGGGCAAGGTTCCAAATACAAAGAAATCAATAATATTTATAGCCCATTCCAACCTTGAGCTCCTGAGTAAGAGAAATTGAGAAATATTTGGATTCAGAAATTCGAAAGACAGTGGAAATGTATATGAGCACCATATGCAGAAAACAATTTCCCAGATTACTTGAAAGGTGTGCTGAAACTGGTCCAGACATTGCATAAGATCATCCACCATCGTGAGATCTATTTTATAGCCCATCCCAGTTGAATTTTGATTGGTTTAGTTCAAAGAAATGGTAAAGAGTAGCATGATGATCAGATGAATGCTGAAATAATAGTGGCATGTTACCTGTCAGAGCGATGCCCGGAAGCTATGCATTTTACCTTCACGTATCCTCCAGGATCCATTCCCCCACCTTTGCTCATATCTGGCTTTAATAATGTAGCAGCCTCCCATGACAAAGATGTAATTATCTCTAACCAACTTTCGTTGTCATCTTCCTCACCCAAAGGAATGTTTTCAACCTGCAATAGCTGAGCTACCAAAGCCGTAAAGTGCCCATCAACCACATTCTTCATGGCCTTCTTGTGCTCCTCATTTGACTTGTCCCTATTTCGATGCTCCCCACTTCCAAAACTACTTGAAGTGCGGAGATAACCCCATTCACCAGTAGCATCCCCCTCATCATCATCGTCAAACAGAAGAGCTTCCCTTTCATCTTCTTCATCTTCGGGTTCAGGGGGGAGCCAGAGAAGTCCATTGTTTTCAAAATCCACAGGTTCAGCATCAACATCTGCTGCGGCATATAAAGAGGAAGGCGCTTCACATTCATCACCAATATCGCGTTCATCTTCTTTTTTGACAAGCTGTTGGATTCCTTCTGAACCCACTGAATGAAAGCTATTGTGTAACAAAGAGCTGCTTACACTGTTAGTGTCAATAGCTTCTCCATCAGGATGCACTTTATGTGAACTATAACCATTATCAATCTCGTCAAATTCAACCTGAGCATAGTAGCCATTAGTCTGAGGAAAATGCCCTGTTTTGGAATCTAACCGGTAAGATCCATATTCATCATCGTCATCATCACTCCTGATGCCAAATAGTAAATAACAATTACTATTATAACACATAAAAAATTTGAGAAGCATGCAGTAAATATATTAGGGACACTGAATCCATGATTAAAAAATACAATGCATCAACTTTGAACAAAACATAAGACTTGCTGCATATATATATATATATATTGCTGCATAAATACTAACTGCTCGTTCCCAATTCCAAACTATGCAGTCGATGCTCATGTCGTTGCTCATGGAAATCATGAAAAACCATCATTTGATCTTTATCAAAGTAAGATGCTGAAAGCAACAGCACCTAAATAAGCAAAGATGTTTAGTTGTGAAGGAACTCTTCCTAGTACCAGTTAAGCAACATTAGTAGACAACGGAGAGTTTTTTCTTCTTCCTTTTTATTCTACTTACAATGGAGAGTCACATACAAGTTATTCCAAGAGCAGGACAAGTAATTCTTTCACATACTTATATAATACAAACTAATATGTTTTCTCTACTTTATTCTATGTTAAATGAACTCTAGTACTCATGTCAGATACTATATCTTGTCTAGGTGTCCAGTTCACGAGGACAGGGACAACCAAATTGTCACCATGCCCAATTTATCTCTGCTGCTAACAAACAGCAATGAAGTTTCCATCAAAACTGGCATCCAAGACATGAATACTTCAACTCATTTTGATATAGTCATGTAATGAAAGAAAAAATAAGTAAGGAATTCAATGGAACTTCAAATTTAATAAGGTACCTGCTTCTTTGCATATTTGTCAGACAGTTCTGTTCAGAAAGTCTTTGATGCATATACCCACATGTGACTTACTGAAATTATAGATAACTACTAACACATGTCCCATTTCCATACCCTTGTCAAACATGTCCACAAACATGTAGGATGTATGTTTGTCTTTCTTTAAGAGCCATACTTTTCGTCATGTTATTAATTATGCTTGTTTAATGCTTCACCTTAATAGGATATTGTATTTTCTCCAAATAAAATTATTTACTATCTATATTGAAAATGTGGAAAAAAAATTATGACACACAATATGATACAACTCGTGATCCAAGAAAATTTGAAAAAAAAAATACACGTTAAGCACCATTATTTGACAACTATGCTCATAACATTTTTGCTACCCAATATATAGTCATAGTTCGTGTACTGCATTTCTAATTTTAAGAACACAAATCTCAGACTAATCATTACAAGTTGTTAGTCATGTATAACATCTTCATTTGAACATAGTACGAAGTAATGAAGCACAAGAGAAATGGAAAATAACCTGTTCATGCAAAACCTAAATTGGGTTGGAGATGGAATCTGCATGTCTGCAACATGATCGCTGCTCCTTTCTGATGCGACTACACCTTCACTATCTACATTCATCTGCATTGCTACTGGTTGACGAGGGCTGAGAACAGAAGGGTGATTTTGTTGGAAAGACTCAACTGAATGTGGCATTGATGAAAATGTAACGCAGCTACTGTCAACAGTGCCACTAGATTTGGAGCTGACAAGACTCGTCGTTGATGGCGAAGAACTGAGATCCAGGTTGGCAACCTGGATCCCATTATCAACGGTAATTAAGCCCTGCTCCCATTGTTTGAAACAGAAATTACAAACCCTAATCCTATCCCACTCTTCCCTGGCAGTATTTGGCTCACTAGGCGGTGCGGGAACCCAGTTTGCAGTACACTTGGCACAGAAAACTCGCCCACAATGTCGACAATGGTGTCTACGGTTAAACAATGTAAACTGGGAATCACACTCGTAGCATACCCTACAACTCTGATCGGGCATCCAAAAGTCCCTCGACACATTAGCTGGCTCGGACCGCCAAGGGATCCACGATTTCAGTATGCCTAATAGATCAGGGAATGACTTGTCTGGGGCATCCATCTACTAGCAATCCTCGACCAAGTCATTGTTAACTTCTCATTTGGAGACCATCGTAACCAATTCCAAAGAGAAGGGGAGTGGGGAAGATGGTCTGATCCAAATAACACAAATAAGTGCCAAAATCAGTTACCTTAAATTCACCAAATATAAAAACAAAAAAAGAAAAAAAGAAAAGAGAAAAGAAATCGATCCTAAATTCAGATTCTTGATGCCACCCCAATCCAAAAACCATAAGACCAACATCAGATTAATCACCACTCAATTGCCCATAAAAACCCTAGTAGTTGTGGCTCTGAATTCTCTACCCCATTCGAATAAATTATTTTAATCCTTCTAAATTTGCCAAACCAATATGGAACCAAAATCCAATTAGAAAAAAAAAATTCAAAAAAATTGCCACAATCTGTATGAAACCCTATTTTTTTTTAACAATTCTAAACTGAACAGCAAATCAAAACCCAAAATTCAAATTTAAAACTTGTAGCGAACCTTATATAAACGAGAGGACCACGTTTTCTCGAGAAAATCCATCTGTCGTCAACTCACTCCCAACGCGGAATCGATGAATTCCCATTCAAGAAACACCATTTTTCCCTAATAAAAAAATCAAATCATAACCCAATACAAAATATTATCCCTCAAAACAAACCCAAAAAAAAATTCCAATTTACATCATCAATCACCAGCCAAAAAAGAATTTTAAAAAGAAAAAAAATCAATAACTGGAAAGAGACCCGTTAAAGATTTGAACAAACCTTGAGATTGAATCAATAATCGCAATCAGATCTCGAGTGAAGACAAAAAAAAAATAAAAATAATAAGAGCACAGAACACGAAGGTGATGTATCCAAACAACGCCTAATTGGGGTTAGGTGGAAATCGGCGATTCAATATTATTGATTCATGCATGGTTCCTTCTTTCTCTAACAATTCAATATTCGAGATCGGTATATACATACAAATATACATGTATATGTGTATGAATCCATCAACGGACACTTGTAAGTCTCTCAATTTCAGATTTGTAACGATAATAAGCAACTTTTTCTTCTGTTTTTTTGTTTTTCTTTTTCTTTTATGGGTAATTATTCAATATTTTCGGAACACATGTTCATATTTTAAGTTAATCATTAATTATTTAATGTTATGTTATTTTTTTATTATCAACATAAATTGTCAATCCTTGTGTCTTTTTACCAATTAAAATCTTATAAAGCACCTGAATAAACACCCTTCTTTTATATATTTATAACTTTGTGTTTTTGTTTTTTAAATGTTTTGGATTTCTTGTGAGTGACACACGAATGATCTTCTGGCTTGGAAGTTACAGTCAACATTACAGACAAAGGCGGTGGAAAATAAAAACATCCGGGTAAATTATAAATACATCCTTAAAAATTGTTTAAAATATAAATAATTCTCTATAATTTAAAAAATTATAAATATTTTTTGTTATTGTTTTTTAAATGTTTTGGATTTCTTGTGAGTGACACACAAATGATCTTCTGGCTTGGAAGTTAAATACAACAGTCAACATTACAGACAAAGGCGGTGGAAAATAAAAACATCCGGGTAAATTATAAATACATCCTTAAAAATTGTTTAAAATATAAATAATTCTCTATAATTTAAAAAATTATAAATATTTTTTGTTAAAATTTTTTATTTAAAAGAATTAATTAAAAAATTTTAATTCATAATTATTCTCCTATATAATAATAAAATTACTTAAATTATTAATTAAAACATATTTCTAACATCATTAAAAATTGTTAATCGACTTGATGATTTATTAATAAAATGAGCGATTTATTATGAAATTCGAAACTTCAGGAGGTGGAATATAATTTTTAGAATCATAGGAGGCAATTCATAATTTAGAGGTTGTTTGGGGTGACCTAAATAAGTGTACTTTTTGTCTTTTTACGAAAAGATATGTAAAAAAATAGAGAGGTGATGTGATAAAAAAAAAGATAAAAAGATGAAAAGATAGATTATTTTGTGTATGTCAAACTTGACCTTAATCAAACCTAAGGGGAATATTTATGATTTACCCAAAAAATTAAATAAATAAATAGATAATGAGTATTTTTTAATTTTTAATTTTGTTTAATTGTGGAAGCGGCAGCGTTTGGGAGAGATATATGAGCTTTTTGGATTGTGATTGGTGGAGGTGTATTGTGTGTGCAGGGAATTTGGAACCGACAGCCATCCAAGTTTAGCTATTTTGACTTCGGTGCTTGGGAGAAATTATTTGGTACTTTTAATCTGAACTAAGGCCGTTTGTTTTCACATATAGAAGTTGAGATTAGACTGACAGTGAGGTGCTAGTTAAAAAGAAAAAAAAAGAAAAAAGAAAAAGAAAAAAAAAAAAAAAAAAAAAAGAAGATGACTACTAATAGAGAGGTAGAATATTATATTTGTTTTGAAAAATTATCATTAGACTAATAGTCCTATCGGATTATGAAATTTTTCCAATGACGGAACTACAAATCTAATGGGAGCTTCTATATACACACACGCTTTCCTCTCTATACAAATCTTTCTTAATACACACACTAAAAAAATAAATCCTAATATATTTGACTCACTACACACCTATTATTCTACATATACCCTCAAATGTAAATCATACACACACACCCCCTCTCACACACACACACCCGTGAGACCCCTTTCACACACACACCCATCTGAGAACCCCTCTCACACACACACCCATCTCTCACACTCTCCACCGTTCCTCTCCAAAAGCTTCATCCATCCATTTGTTTCATTGAAGTTTTGGCATCATTGAAGTTTTGCCATTGAAGGGCATTGAAGGGCATTAAAGAACATTGAAATTTTCACATTTTAGGTTAGTTTACACATATTATAATCTTCTCATTCCTATTTTATTTGTAATGTAGGGTTAATTTTTACCATTTTCGAAATTTTCAGTCCACTGTTATTGCCGTGTTTCATTCGGCACTGGTTTTTCGAAATTTTTGTTCTTGTTCGGCAGTAGAGTTCTGAAATTTATGCTTCCATTCGGCACTATAGTTCCGAAAATATTGATTTGGTTCGGCTTTCAAGTGCCGAAAATAAATTTTTTTTTTGGTTTTCAACTTCCGAATATGAGCTATAATTTCGGACAACAAGTTCCGAACAGAACAGGTATTTTCGGACAACAACTTCAGAACAGAATAGGTGTTTTCGGACAACAACTTCCGAACAGAAATAAATTTTTTTTTTTTTTCCTTCTAACACTTAATTAAAACACTTAATTATAACACTTAATTATAACACTCACTACTCACACTCTCATTAATTTTACACACACAGACCGTTATTATTTATTTATGTAATTTTATAGATTTAATTCTAACCAATTAATATCACTATATAATTCACAAACAAATTTAATTTAACTTAAATCTTCAATTTAATATCATTACACTAATAAATACCTCGCTTAATCTTATGGTACTGATAATCTCCTTACTCAGACAAATGGTGCCTAAGTAATCTAACAATAAAGTAGTGTTTGGATCTAGATAATAAAAGTAAAATAAAATTTGTACTTAATAAAATTAAATAGAATAATTATTTTATTAGAATGTCTATTATTAATTAATTCACTTTAAAATATATTATAAATTACATTACCATTTTATGGTGTAGTTAAAAGAAGGGAAAATTATATGAAACTCCCTTAAATTATATACAATTTACACTTTATCTCCTAATGTTTTAAACTTAACAATTATCCTCTCAAACTATTTGGAATTAAACATTTAGTCTTTTTATTAGACATTTGTTAGATATTTAAATAAAAAATTGTCAAATGTTGTGCACATGATGATTATATTAAATCTTTACAAAAGATAAAATAAGATAATTTGATCATAAAATTTAATATAATCATCAATGCACAGCACTTGAAATTTTTTTATCTAAATATCTAGCAGATGACTAACAAAAGACTTAATGTTTAAATTCAAATAATTGAAAGGGCTAATTATTGCGTTTAAAGCATTATGATGTAAAGTATAAATGGTGGATAATTTAAAAAGATTAAGGCCAAGTTTGGCAACTCAAAAATAATTCATATTTTTATCTTTTTATCTTTTTTCCATCACATCACCTCTATACTTTTCTGCACATCTTTTTGTAAAAAAATAAAAAATGCACTTATTTAGGTCACCCCAAATAACCCCTTAATATAATTTACCCTTAAAAGAATAGAGATGGCAATGAAACGAGACATGGGCTTGGAAAAAAAACTCATAAAAATCGATGAGGTAGCAAGGTCAAGGCGATAGCGGGTTGGAGCCATTTGAGAAAGAAGTGGCGTCAATACGAGAGTGGGGTTAGGACGGATTAATTCTTATGACTTTACAAATGATAGTATTAATAAAAATAAAGGCAAATTATTAATAAGTTTTAATAGTTAGATTTTGACGTGGGTAAGCCCATAAAGATTATAACCCAGCATTTAGGGCCCAATAGATAACTCAAATGCTAAAGCCCAGCACTGCTGAAGTCCCATGAAGCAATAAGAACCAATGACATTAAGACACATGGCAAGAGAGGAGCAAGCCACCTCGGCAGACAAAGATCTGCAAAGTTATTGCCATGGCACATCGCCATTAATGAGGCCCCTTACAGCATTTATTGCGATAACCCCTCTCCGTTGGGACAGAACGCCTTCACCCTGAGCAAGGTAAGCTAGAGCATAGACTTTTGGCCAAGGTGACAAGTCGGAAGAGACAACGTAATGATTACCAAAGGATATAAGCAGACGTCAAAGACAAGAAGAAGGTTAAACTTTTCTATCTCTAATCTATCCACATATTCCACTTCTCTCTCTAACTTGCTCGTCGGAGAGTTCGCTGGGGGACTCCCCGTTCCTCGTTGAACTCTTGTGCAGGTTTTCTGGTGGGCTTGGTCATTCAGACATAGGCTTGAGACTCCCCGTTCCCCGTTGAACTCTTGTGCAGGTTTTCTGGTGGGCTTGGTCATTCAGACATAGGCTTGAGGAGCGTGGATAGGTCCGACCCGTTCCACTTGGAACGAACTGCCTCATCAGTTTGCGTCGTCTGTGGGAATCGTTTCTTGTTCCGTGCGCTAGTTGTGCTCATTGCCACCGGAGACCCTCTCCCGATAACTCCCTCCTACCACCTGTGAAGGTGGATGGTCACAACTAGATCCATGGCTTCTCACCCCAATGTTCCCGATCATCAAGCCAACCCTCCCAATCCAAATAACCCATCACCGTTGGCCAAGCAAAACCAAGCCCTAATTAACGCTCTACTCCAAAGAAACCTTCCTATGCCTCCTCCACCACCTCCAGATATTCCCCCCAACCAAGAACGAGCCCCGAGCGATACTATCCTGCAGCCTAATCCACACAACGTGGAAAGCTTGCAACCCCTTACCCCAGGCATAAACCTACCACCCCGAGGCCCACAGCCATCGATTCCGGCACCAACCCCTAAAGGAGAGGCCAGCAGCGTCCAGGCTGCCCTCCGGTGGTGACAATATCTCTCTCTAGGACGCAAAACTCCGAGCATGAAGCTCCAACTCCAAGGGGTCATGCAGAATATACAGCATAAACCATCTACCACGGCTAACTCCCCATTTGTCGCTTCCATCAGGGACAAACCACTCCCTCCTAAGTTCAAAATGCCCACCATTGACTCTTTTGACGGTACAACGGACTCAGTCGACCACTTGGAAACCTACAAAACCCTCATGATCCTCCATGCTTTCCCTAACGAAATCATGTGTCGGGCTTTCCCCGTGACACTTAAAGGGTCTGCTCGACTTTGGTTTAGTCAACTGCCAGCAGACTCCGTATCCACTTTCCAGCACCTCAGCGAATCCTTCCTCAGTCATTTCATCGGAGCCCAGCGCCAGCGACGTCCGGCAACCCAACTCCTCAACATTCGTCAGACCGAGGGGGAGTCGTTGCGTAGTTTCGTTACCCGTTTTAACACTGAAGCCTTACAGGTAGCGGAAAATGATGACAAGGTCATCCTTACAGCTTTCATGGTCGGTCTACG